TGGTGTCGTTGTGTCGTGTGTGGGGTTTTGCGTGTGTATTTATACCTAGGATGTGTGAGTGATACATGGGCTAACATCGACACCTAGGTGTGGGGATGCTCCGAGATAAATATACGTGCTTATGAAGGGGGAGTTGAGGATCTGCGCGGCTGGCGACATGCTGCTAAAAGGAAAACCCTGTGTCGGGGGCCGGAGCGACCGGATTAAGGGGTTGAATAAACACGAATCACAACAACTGCTTATTGCTTGGGCGCACAACAGTGGTCCAAACAGAGTCATCTAAAATTCATTAAACTGTTGATTTCTAAGAAAATGTAATGAACTCATTGCTTGTAGTAGCAGTAGAGCCTAGTTCAATGTGCCCAATTTGACCCACTTCACGCATCGATTGACTTTTTTTTATTTCCAAATGACCGGGATTCGAAGCCCACCCCGTAAATAACTTGCACTTGAGACTGTTGAACGTTTTTAATTGTGGGAGCGACATCAGACAATTGGCTTGTTCCGACGAAGAGCATAGACACTCGTAGCCATGCAGATCTGAGAAGGGGAATAGCAATGTCGGGAGGGGAACCAACGACAAAAAACTGAATCCACGTCACACAGCACGAAACATGCTAGCTAATAGCATAATCGTAAGGTAAGATATATTGTAACTAGAAAACAGGCTAATTATGGGGGAAGGCAGGTACATTTTCGTCAATGAATGATGACAGAAATTAATACCGAAACAAACACAGGAATTTCGAAGTGAAAGCTGCCATGGTAATGAAAAAATAATATAAGATACACGGAACTGTACAGTTGGACTCAGTGGATATTATGCAATGTAATTATGAGTGACGAGAGGGTGTTGCTGCGGCGGCGGCGGGTGCGCTCTCGTTGCCACGGAAACAGGCGTCACAGACGCGATTGGGCCAGTCAAGGCCGCGTCGAGGAACTGGACGGCGGTTCTTGGAGCAGTTGCCGCACACCCCGAGGCCGCACGCGCGGCAGTGGTGGATGGCGAGGCGGGCGCCGAAGGCGGCATTACAGATGGGACAGCGGACGCACTCCTCGTCCGGCTGCCAGTACTCCGGCCGAACTGCCGACTTGACTAGTTCTGGAGCAAGAACCAATGAATGCGAGCAGTAAAATTAATAAGAGACGAAAAACTAGGTAACCACGACGCGCTCACCCTTTGGCGCGCTGAAAACGGGGGAGATGTATCCGGCGGTGGCCGAGAGCATCTCTAAGACCCGACGGCTGGGGGTGTTAGAGCCAACTACCACTTCGGAGTTTGCGGAATGACGCGATTGGGTAAGAGTGACGCCGCCTTTGGATTGGTTCCTTTGATTAAAGCATCTACGAAAGCAACAAAGCCCCTCAGTGAGGTGAGGAATGCTCTCAAGCGGTATTTAATGCGCAGAATCAAGACTCACCGATCACAGACACGCACAGGCTCCTCTGTGAATCCCCGATCAGGGACAGGAATTCGTTTCTTGGAGCAGCTGTCACAAACGCCGCGGCCACACGCCCGACAGTGGTGCTTGGCTGCGTCGTCAGATGGCGACACCTCCACCGAGCCTTCAGACTTACCCCCCGCCGTCGCAGCAGGAGGCTGCTCCACGCCGGAGTAGTTGGAGGATGAGGACGAGGACGAAGAGGAGGTAGGGAACACGAAGCCACAGCACGCACAATTCTTGATCTGTGAATTCGGCTGCCAGTACACGGGGGCCACGCTGTCCGCGATGAGATCGCTGATTAGCCGGGTGGACGGGCCTGTCAACTGAGACACCTGGTTCGAGACCGTGGTTAGACCGTCCACGACAAGTTGACCGAACGGATGGGCACCCTAAGTTAGAAGATCGCTGTCCGAAAATGAGGCTAACGACGACTTGTGACTTATCACAGGAAGGCACCTCACAAAAGCTCGTTTCGGCTAGCCCTCGACAACAAAAGACACAAACGGACCCACCTGCAACAGGGAAGTTTCTCCTGGCCAGAGGTGGACCACCTGCCAGTGAATGTCGGGCGTATTTTCGGGAGGCGGGTTGCCGGACCAGAACGCCCGGCTTCGGTAGATGACCCCGTGGTGAGGACATCTCAGAAGGTAGCCGGACCACAGGTACTTGACGATACCCGTCACCGCGTTCTCGGATTCCTCCATTGACTTGGGCACCAGTAGGACTGACTTGCCGGAGGCGTAGCACTTCTACGGAGCAAACGAAAACAATCTGACAGGCACGAACTCATCAACTCTTGGCATAGTTGTGGTATTTTGTGCTGCCACCACTACGCAGCGTCGTGGTATTCACAAATAAGACGTCGAAACGCGATCTACCTTGCAGTAGTAGACCTTGTTCTGCAGCGTCGCCGAGTACTGACAGCCATCGCCGAGGTCTGTTCGCGACTGGTGAGCGAGGCCGTCGGCGGTGTGGTTGACGCCGAGTTGGCAGCGGGCATTGCACACGGTGCACTTGGCCGGACACGTGAAGAACTCCTGCACAAAGGTCACTGCAGCCTCCGCGCCGGGAAGGTCATCCAAGAAGTGGTTGTTTAGCGAAACGAAGGCTCGGAATATGTGCGAGAGGAGGCGCGGAGCTCGCACGGTCGTGTCCCGCATCAAGTCATCAACCAGGGTTATGAATGGCTAAGAATAGTGGAGGGCATTACGCCTAGACAGTGTTTTTTCGTTGATTTAAAGAGACCACAGTTCCCGTATTCCGATTGGTTAAGTCAAGACGCTAAACGATTGGACCATTGAGGAGGGAGGATCCAATTAGCTACACAGTTAATACTCATTTTAATTGGTGGATTAGTTGTACCAATATTGACCGACAAAAAACGCGTGAACAATTTAAACTACACACGGCGCAAAATTTATGCATTAGATTAACAGAGTCCAAAAAAACCAACATGACAAAAGCGTAAATAAATGAGCTAGAATAAAAACCAAGTCAATCAACATGACTGGCGTCATCTGTGCTGGCATTCATTGTTGTGTTTGCAAAAAAAGACTCAACATTCAGGGGTACTTAGGCACTAATTAAAAACACGATGACAGAGTAAACAAATTCAACCTGATTTCGACTGAATGGGGTGTTCGACAAACGCGCCAATCTGGTTTCTTTGGTAGCTATAAACCGCTGAAAAGTGTAGACGTCATAATTTTTTGAGTATATCGTACACAGTTCATTTGAATTGGTAAAAAGAATCAACGTGTAGTCAGGAAATATACTCGCATTACAGGAACAGCTACCAAAAAACGCATACGGCTCTAAGTGGGTAAACCAAAAAATGTGCATTCTCCAGACATTTTAATAGACTGAAAAGCGATAGTGGATGACAAATCTGCCTTGACATTACAGACATATTTGTGTGTGGAAAATTTGGCTCGATTGACAACACAATTGTCAGGCTGCAGTTCGTGCGATTCAACTACGAGCAAAAACAAATTACGCGGTTATGAAAACAGCTCATTAAAACACTTTGTTGTGTTGTGCTCGCCTCCGTGAGCCTTGTGAACTAGACGAATGGCAATATGGAAGCTGGCCGGTACAATCAAAGTCAGTCTAGATAAAATGAGGTGGCGTGAATATTTGGTTAACCATAATCGGCCGAACTAGCACCGGGCGACGATTGTGTAAATTGTAGGGACTACATTGCAGACACGAAAACTGACAACGCAGCAGTCGTCAGGCGATTAGTCAGTTGGTACTCAAGTGGTCATGTGTTTAAGCACTTCGCTGTTGGTGACTTAAAACTGTGTCTCCATGCCCTGACCAATCAAATCACGTGTTCCAGATATTGCGCATTACGTTTCCCCGACAAGACGAATTCGAGCACTTTGTGATACGTAAAAACTCCTGCCGGAGCTAAGCCTTGGTTTTTACAATGTACTTTTAGTTTAGAGTGTATTTTCTGATTAAAGTGGCGTTGCAAAAAATCCCATTCGTGATGATTTACGCCTAATATCTCGTCTTCAGACACCCTTCTTTTCCATTACACGTGCGCCGTTCGTGATTTCAAATTCTGATCCTATTCGTCCCGACCAATCAAATCACGACCCCGTTGAAAGAACTAACGTAATTGGACGGCTGTGCGTTCAGGATCTATATAGAATCCTGCTGCCGCTTTCAACGTGGAAAGTAAAATTGGCCTTCGATGTTGAAATCCTGTTGCTCCCCGAAGTGAATTTGCATAAGCGCCTTTTTTTGATGCATTAATGACGGCCACAAGGAATGAAACAGTCGTTTGCTAGAGCGTTTTTGCAATAACCACGAGAAAAATTCTGCAGTGGACAAACAGCGATCACGCCTGAATGAACCCTGGTTACTGACCTGACGGTGAAAGTGGCTCGTCCCCTTTTCATTCATTACTGTATCAGATGCCTGTCATCCGTTCACTCATCCGCACACTAAGACACACTTGGCTGGCGTGACGCTAATAAACTGTCGTGTCCTCTGTCGCCTCTCTTCACTCCATTCTCGGGTCGTTACGGGCTGTTAACTAGAGGGTTATAAGGTAGTGCCAAACTTAAGCTACCACAATTGTGTCATGTAATTGTTATCTTGCTATTTGTGTCGATGTACCAACGGTCAAACGGTAACTCAGGCACTTGACTAATAAGAATGTTGAGAAATTCTAGTCAATTTGGTTGCCTTCCCGTCTACATGGTCAATTAATTACGTTTCAGCCAATGAGGAGGAGGCAAAACAGGGTAATTGGATTGGAGTGGGATCTGGGATGACCTTTAGACATTGGTGAATTGGGCGTAAACAATGTCCGCGCCAATAGAAAGCACCGCATACGCCAAACAGCCACATCGACGATTAATGCTAACGTCCGCGAAAATTAAGGTTTGGGGGGGTGTGTGATGGGAGCGAGAAGCCCTCTGTAAATCAATGCGCACAACAGTGAACTCACGGTGAAGTTCGTGGGTTTCTTCGTGGTCCGGACACCGACATAGCGAATTGTGGAAAATGCATCGGCGTTGCGGTGGATGGCGGCAAACCTCTCATTCAGAAAGGCCGAACCTGCAGACAAAGAACGAACGAAATCAATGTGTGTTTTTTGTGCCTGGGTGACACTTGAGTGTTCAACAAAGTGGAACGTGTCTCAAGTACTCATCGAGAAACGCAAGCAGTTTTAGGGACTTTTGAACACGAAAGCAACACGACACCACCAGGAAACAAGACGCGCTGGAATAGTCCAGGCATTGGCATTTTGTGAGAGAGTTGGATATGACTAGTGCAGTTTCATTCAATGGATGGTTCAGTCCAAGCCGTCACTGCGGCCTGTTGCTAGGGTTTAAATCAGGGGGATTTCCGTATCTCCGGAATGTCTAATTGTCTTTCAAGGTCATGCTAAGGCATCGATCGGTTTACCTTGGTGATGGAAGAAATAAGGCAACGTGTTGGCGAAACTACTTGTGCGTGTGCACGTGAAAATGCAAAATGCTAAAAACGGCAAAGTTCGTAGACAAGAGGTAAGACGCCAAACCGAGACATCAACCACTAGTCCGGACGTGGAACTACGAAACACGCCAAATCGCTTCAAGGTAGTGAGTCACGTCTGCCGTTCGAGTGGTGTGCCTGCTAAACGCCATAAAATACGCACGACTGAGGCCTCCATCGTTGTTAAAATCACGTCCACAGACGGGGATCCTCGTGTGAAACCGATTAGGTTGATCGATAGGATGAGGCATATAACTAACCGGGTCGGTAAACCGCCACCCAATGACACAGTCGAATGATCAGTGGCTTGATTGGCGAAGCGCCTAAGATGAACACATCCCACTGGTCTCAATTTGACCGACACGTTTGTTGGAATCTCGCAGGTGCGCATTTCTGTTTGGGTAGAACTCCAGGCCTCTAGAGATGCCTGACAATTGGAGAAAGTGCAGTCGTTGGAGGAACACTAGTCGGATTCAATGAGCTGAATCAAGGACTTGCTGAAAGACCGTCCACCATCTGGAATACCAGGGTCTGTTTGAAAAGTGACAAAAATCGGCTGCTCGTGTTCCACGAAAGTCTACAACGCATGGTTCACAAGAACTTGACACCGAGTGATCAGTTCTCAATTACGAGCATATTACCCGTCTCCAATTGGACTCGTGAAATGTAGACGTTTGTGACAACTGAAGAAGGTGCATCATTTGTTGCTGCAGTTAATAAACACTTGACAAGCGTGAAACAGGACAAGAATTTCATGAAATAATTTGAGAAGTGCTGACTTGTGTGCTACTCTGGTCTCAACAGGCCTTTTGGATTTGTCTTACTAATGTGATCCAGGGATTTTCGAGCGGCTAATTTTTTTCAGTACAGCGTAAAATTTTGTGCCGACAGAAACCATGGTTTTGGGCTACAGATTATCGCACGCGTCTTTGCGCTAGTCGAGGCGTCTTAAAAATGCAGGGAAATCACCAGCGCTAATGCCCGACACCGGTAAAACGCGCAGTTGAAGAAAGTCACGTGAAGACGGTTGTGAACTTCGCCTAAGGCAACCAGTACAGCAAAAGGGGCAAGTGAAGGGGTAGCATGACAGGAAGCCATTAATCAAAACCGACCAATCACATTTCGCCTTCAAATCAATTGGCTAATTAGTAGAAACGATGGCACGTGCATTTGCTTTCTGCATTGTTCAAGAGGAGGCACGAGTCGTCTTCGAGAGGCTCCGTGTGGCGGGTCTCCTGGAAGATGACCACAGCGGGACCCAGCTGACGTGTGGACCAAGGGAGGTCGCTTTGCTGGGCCAGGGACTCCAGTTGGGGCTGAAAGTGGTTGGCGAAGGCGTCGCTGGCGTCGGCCAGAAAGATGAACATGTCGTTGTGCAGGCGGTCCGACATTGTACGGTAGACGACGACGTCGGCGACTGCGAACACCTTCAGCAACAGACGTCGCTGTTTGTTGGGATTCGACGAGGCGCCCAGCAAACCTGACAGGGCGAAAAAACGCATGAACACTTAGAAACCAATTAGGCAAGCGCCTCTCCCTCAACGCCAAGCTTGTGGGAACTCTCAAACGCATTTTTAGCCAAGTGTGCAAAGTGATTATGATAAATAACTAGTCCAGTGACGGTGTGTGATCAAGTTCCGCCCTGTGGCATGAAAAAAAGTACAGCGCAATTGAACTAGGCGAAAAACCCACATTTAGCTGACACCACAAGATCCTCTGTGTACAGTAAAAGTGCAGGTCACACGAGCTCGTAAAGCAAGAACAGCCTGACCAGGGCTTGCGAAGACGTGATGGTCCCGCCATGAGCGCCATGGTAGACTTGTTGGGGTGCCATATCTCACTAACTGCACGACAAAGTTAAAGATGGTGGAAGGAAAGAGAGTCAACCGTTTATTTGAGGACTTGACGAAAGTGTGTGTACAGAATAACAAGTGAGTTAATAGAGATTCGCTAAGCATCGATCCTTGAGTGAGCAGAGTTACGTGAAGTGAATTCACGAACATCGCTTGAATAGTGTTTGCTCAGGCTTGCTAACTACGTTCGCTCATGATTGATAACTGTGCTCGCCACAGACTCATCAAAGCCAAAGGCCACAAACCGGAAAATGACGTGGGTGAAGCGAGAGAACCTACCTTCGGTGTCAAGCAGGAGGTAGTTGCGTTCCGGTTCGTAGGCAGCCCAGACGCCCAGAGTGCAGGTGGACGGAGACGCAGACGTGATGAAGACCTCCCCGGTCTTGCCTCGACTTGCGCCGCCGCAGAAGGCGTAGTTCAGTGTGTGCGACTTGCCGTCGCCGGTGTTGCCCACGATGGCGAGGGTCTTGAGACGCTGATCGGGTCGACAGCCCAACGCCTGACCCAGGACCTCCGGACTCTTGAACTAGGGGAGACAAGCAAGCCCGGGGGTTGGGTGAGCGTTCAGAAGCTCACTCGTGATAACGGGCACAGCGCCCCAACAATGAAATGCCGTGGGTCAATCCGATATTTATGGCCCGACGCTGAACGCATATCGACACACGAGCAGGCAACTAGCGACTTATTCCAGTACGACTAGCGTGGCGTGGAAAGTCTATTCCTAATAGAAAAGTCTACCCTCAAGCCATTCTTCCTTTTTCTAGCTTCGCGGCGTGTGATCTTTCCTTAGCAGTCCTGTCTGACTCCAGGTTCCGATTACGTCTCTTCGCTCAACCAGGTTGTACATCTCGCCACAATCACCTCCCGACACCATCCGCCGACTACCAATCACCCAGTCCCACTCCTACTGCTTTTATTAGAGCAAATTTTTCGCTTTTTGCAACCTGGCTTCATTTCTTGACCCTCATTAGCCTTGATTTCCGACGCCTGCGCGGCGCATCATTTTGATCCACTCACGCCTAGGTTCTCAACTCAACTAGATCCAACAGCCTGAAATGGCACACAATCAGGCATCACACAATCTTTTCTACGATCAACCTTTCAAATATTCTGCAGGAAAAAAAGTTTGCATCGAGAAAAGCGATTCTTCTCAAACGTCTTCCAACAACAACCAATGGCGCCGAGCGTTGCAGTTATCTTCAGGCGACGACAATTCGCATTATTTCAACATTCATTGGGACCACATTCCAGTGCGACACAAATTACAATGACACAAAATCTGTGACGTTTTTGCATATAAAGCCTTGTAAACTACATCCTCAATGAAAAAGCAGTGAATTTCGGATATTTAAGTTGATTTCAAGCAGCCACACATCCAGTGGAGTCAAGGCAGGTAGGTGTCCTATTAGTGGATAACATTCACCGATGTCACTAAACTTTGGAACCACAAAATACCACAATTCCTCGGGTTGTTAAGTGATAACAAAGACGAAACATTTGTAAATATACTCCTGCTGCTAAGTATCTACAACAACGGCATCACGTAAAAGCCGGTAAAGTTACGGAAGCATGAAAACTAGCTGTTGCAACTAGTAAAAGGAAATGAACCTACCAAAAAAGACTCATCAGCATCGACAATCTTAACGGACTTTGGCGGTATCACTGGTTGATCACTGGGATCAGTGAGACACTCTTCAACCAGAGCATCGGGCGAGACTTGAAAGGGTTGGAAATCAGAATTCATCTAAATTGACACAAATCAACAGAAGTATAAGAATCTTACACCAATGCTGGTCAAAAACATGATTGAAGAGAAAAATCAAAAACCTTTTAGGCACGATACAGCATGAAATAAGACCGAAAAGATGTTTATAAAGTCGAAACTAAATCCCCAATAAACACTGAAAGGAGAACGACAGGAAAAGGTTTGTGGAGAAGTGCCAAACAAATCTAGCTGAATCGGCAAAGGCTTTCAGCGCTTTATTATTAAAAAAATTATAATGCTCAAAATCATGCATTCGACAAATTCACGAGCAAATTATAGAATTCTAGGATGGAAGGTGCTTTAAAAGAGGCTAACAAAACGGACGCAAAATAATGTGAGTCAAAAACAGCTAATTTGACTCCTTGTTTTAACTATCACACAAACAACAAAGGAACTACATTGCTGCCAACAAATTTAAAGCCTTACGGCATTTACTACGAGATTTTCATGATTTGGGTTGAAAAACAAATGTGACATTTATTACATAAGGCAAATAAATCAATCTTCTGGTCAGTAATGTCAAAAGCCATTTTCTCTGTTCAGGACCTATACTAACAGAAAAGTACACTTACTATTATTACTGTCAAGCATCAGAGAACGTAGAGCTGCATGAAAATTAATTACGCCAATAAGCCCAATTATCCATGGTAAAAAACAATATTCAATGAAATTTTACATAGGTGCAATTAACAGTGAACATATTTTAAGTAAAAATGAGGGAAGATAAACTAGTAGGATGATTAAATCAGAAACACACACCTTAGCATCGTCCTTTTCCAGACAAATTGGATAGAGCGATCAATCTCCCACCCATTTAAACAACGATAGGGATCACTAATAGCATATTTTCTTTCAAACAATTAATTTTTTAAACTACATTAAAAATATGAGCAATGTGTCAGTGTTATTCGTTTGAAAATTTTAAATGACTTTATTCAACAAAAAACACTAAGATTAATTCCTCACAAGCGCATTTTGAGAACAGACGTGGATGTGAGTTAGTTGCAATTGCAGCAGACCAAGCATGCATCTTAATTTGATGCTGAAAATAAATATGGCATAAGAGAAGGACTTCGTGTTTAAAATCCTGAAACTTCACATAAAATGCCATGGTCACATTTTATGCAATTGTAAACGCGTTGCGCTGTCCCTTGCTTGGCAGCACATTCATAGTTATATCACACTCTAAATGTTGTATTGCACACTCGCATGATACTCGAACTTCCTCACTCTCAGTGTTTTCACATAAGTCTTATCAATTTGCCCTTTTTGACCACCCGAATATGTAATGGCACGTTCAAAACATTCAAAGGCAACAAATGCACGCTAAGTTCAGCACGCGTGCAAAAAATTTGAACCCGGTTGCTAGCTAATCTTAAACTGCTTTTTGACTTGATTTTACTTTGCACTTTCTTCTTGGTAAGTTGTGGATGTGTCCTGGTGGCATGACTACTTTTGTAAGAAATATATAAACTGCGCAAATGCAGCAGCATGTTATTTGCAAAAACGTATTTGTTGTGTAGTTTTTGTTTATAAAACGCATGTTTTTTTTCAAATAATGTATTGCTTTTAGCACATCATCTTCAGTAATGACCTTCAGATTTTAACAGATTACATTGAAATTTGCGGGTGGTCGATTTGGTGGCTTTGTGGTTTTGGTAATATATATAGTTTTTTACCATACATCAGTTTATAAGGTGTTTTTTTTTAGATATTTGATGGATTTACAGTGTTGGGAAATTAATTTTAGCTCTTTCGCTTAAAATGGAAATAAGTTTTGAATTGATCGTAAATTTATTTGAGTACAACTGACCTGTGCATGTTTTCTTGCTTTTCAATTATCGCCTTTAAGTTTAGTAGAATTTTTTAATATTGAGCTAACCTTTGGTATGACAGACATAAATGTCTCTTCAAACGGTCTCAATTTTTTCTGCGGATCAAGAAATCCATATAGCTTAATAAAATGCATAGACTTAGTGGAATCTTTGGCTAATGCTTGCAGCCAATAGGGTTGGCTTTTGATAATTGAAAATTATCAGCATTTTGAGTAACATGTAGCATGCATTTTGAGTGCTTTTGAAAAATATATGTCTACCTGATTTATTTTGAGAGTCAATCATCTCTGCTTCCGATACTGAAAAGCAACACTTTTTGCATCGTAAATTAAACTTGTATAAGCGTTTCTGACTTTTTCTAAAACTTTCCATCCGATATTAATAGGAATACATGTATGCCGATCCAATGAGTTTTGAAGCAGATTATTCAGGTGAAATTTCATAATTGCTGCAGACTTTTAAATTAATATGTCACGAAATTCTTTATAAGCGATTGACATAGTTCTCGTTGCATTAGAATTATACCTTGAAATTGTGAAAAAAAAACATTTAACACTTGCCAACTTCAGCTAAATTGATACTCTTTAACAGTGCATGTATTTCAGATGCTGCATTACCTCATAAAGTCATTGAATATGAATGTTTTTATTGTCTACAGACAATTAAAACTGTTGTTAATTCTTTTTAGCCTGCTCACCAAGCAACAATATGGTCGGTATGGTAATTTTGCTTTAAAAAAATACAAGAATATAATTTGATAGTAACCTTTGAAGTTTTCTAAGTTTTTTCTGCCAGAAAGTTGTCTAATGAATTCATTTTTGCCCGTTTTTTTAAATTAAATATAATTCTCTTCATGCATCACTTTTGCCTCTATTCAAAAAGAAAAAATCACTGAACAGAAAATGGTTCCAGACCAAATAAACGGATACCGCTGGGACATTCCAGAACGATACTCATCCCTGACACCCATTGGCTGTGGAGCATTCGGGACCGTTTGGTAAAAGTCACTTGTCATAACATATTCTTTTAAGTTTACGTCGATGTCACACAATGCTTTTCAAAGTTCATCGCACTTTATATTATTTATATTATCAAGACCGCGCAACGAAGAGTTTTAACGGTTTTCTGATGCTTAATTTGTTCAATTTATATATGTCTTTACCATTCATAATTTGTTTACGACAAGACGTTGCTGAAAAACGCATTAAATTTTTCTAAATTTTGTAGGTCATGTTTAAAACAGCCGCCTCGAAGATATTTGTGTTGTAGTTGACACTTTTTAAGCAACACGGCAATAGTGACCATGAATAAATACTTACAATAAAAGTGTAGAAAAAAATATTTTTGAGTGTCGCACTGATGCACTACTCAAGGTGGTTCTTGTAGATTTTGCGTCTGGATTTATGCCAAAACTTTCTTGAAAATGGAATACATTTTGCCTCTTTCTCTTCTCTCATGTGTGTGCAAAAACTTTCCAAACCATCAGTGTGTAAAATGCCCTCAATTGTTTGACATGAAAGAGGCATTTTCTGATTTTTCTCTTTAGTTCTGCACACGACAATGTATTGCACAGGCCCGTGGCAATTAAGCGCATCAACAAACCATTTGACGCTCCTGAATATGCCAAACGAACCTACCGGGAGTTGGCAATACTGGCTCACATTGACCACGAAAACGTGCGTAGCTAATTTTTGTCTGTGAAAATTTTCATAAGATTTCCATAGTGCCCTGTTTATTGATTTGCTATTGTTGATTTGTAAATTGAATTGCTTGATTAATCAGTCAGTTGTCAGGTGCCATCTTGGTACGAGCGTCAGTTGTTTGGTTTTTGTCATGAATTTAGCATCACTATCACCATATCTTCCGTGGATTTTTAGATAATTACCCTAATTGACGTATTCACGCCTCAAACGACAATGGAAACTTTCAGTGAAATGTAAGTGCTTCTGCTAACATTTCAGGATTGACAGCGACCGCACAGAAAAACCTTGCTAACTCATCAATTTTTTTTCCTATGACGTTGAATTGTCACCAATTTGCAATTTCGGTGAATTGATGTGAACGTGCATCACTACAAGAAAGAGTGATTTTGCGCTGGCAAAGTACTAAACCGCCAAAATCCCTCCAGAGTAGGGCGTTGCCTCATCAGACAGGAGTGCCGCAGGTCTAAGTGTGCCAAACACTGTTCCGTCGTATCGCAGCTGTCGCCACACAAGTATGCTAAGGGCCAAACTTAAGGATGTGCAAAGGATTGACTGGTGTTGGCGATGTGTGATCTATTGGTGGTTATGTTCAACCTTGCAGATATCTCGTAATGCCAAAGATGGCTGCGGATTTGGAGGCCGTCATTAAGGAGCAGAGCCTTGACGACGAACAAATAACCTTCCTTGCCTACCAGATTCTTCGAGCGCTCAAGGTGTGTGCTTCCAAGTTTTAAATCAGTCCTGGTTACGTAAACGCGTTAGTAATTTTATTGTTAATAGACATAGAAATAAAATTCTTCATGCGTATTAGCGATGATATTCGATGTAAGGTAAGATGGCTCTGTCACCAATCAGGCTTCTCGTTGGCTTTAATTTGATTCATTCTATATTCAAGTACAAAAGAAGATTTTTAAACCATAAAAACACAACGCATACAGCATCAACTCATTTATAGGGTCTCAGATTGATTACACAACTTGACAAACTAAATGTGCTTTTCTATTGCTTACGGAAGTTGATCGTCATTTTCTGAGTATGGATTTGGTAAGCCTAGGAAAATCAATCAACGACACCAATGAACATGTCTATAGCTGTCGCAAAAAAATGCTAATTCGTACAAATTTTTGCTGATCTACAAAATTCTACATTTCCTCTTCACTCAAAGTCTTCTTTTCCCGTGTTATTAAATCCTGTGGCGTTTTTGCCTCTCTTGAGTATCTAGTACATGCACTCTGCCAACCTCATCCACAGGGACTTGAAGCCGCGCAACATCGCCGTAGACGTGGACTGTAACCTCCGGATTATCGACTTTGGTTTGGCCCGACAGATGACAGAGGACATGTCACTTTACGTTGTCACTAGATGGTATCGTGCCCCCGAGGTTATCGCTCAGTGGGTAAATTACAACGACACAGGCAAGTATTGGTTCATGCTTTTAGTTTCAAGGTCACAAAGCCACGGATACTTGTCGGTTTACCGATTCAAATTCTTTCTCAAATACGTTTTCGACTATCTAAGAATTGGGAAGTAGTTTTTGAGGAAGGGATTACATTGGGATACAATTAGTGGGCTGTGTTGACACGAGGTGAATGACAAAGTAGGGAGATACTAAAAGTAGGACAACTTAGTAACACCAATTAGATTACCCATGAATCTCATTGAAGTTATTCCTGTGTGCAAGTCACGGATCAAAGCAACCGCCCGTTCTCTGTCGCATCGCAATAACCTGTTTAAATTCCTCTCATTTTAGTGGATATCTGGTCGGTGGCATGTATTTTGGTTGAGATGAAGACGCGCCAACCTCTATTCTGCGGACAGAACCCTCTGGAGCAGTTGGTAGAGATTTTGGCTGTCGTTGGCAAGCCAGATGAGGGATTCCAACGGAAAATAACCAGTCAAAGTGTAGGTCTGTTTGAGTCCTTGATTTTGGCGGCCTAGATTTTGCTCCAGTCGTCTGCAAAGAGCCACGCCGACATTCTCCACATGTCAAAATATGCGCATTGACAAGGTGGGACTATGCTATCCCACATATCGCAATAAAATCTTAGCAATTGAAGGGTCACTGATGCATTTGGATTGCTCATGCGTCCTACGTACTGGTCACCGTGGGCCTTCGTGTCTACACGAACTTGCATAGTTGTAGACGTCGATTTAAATGCCTTCTAAAGCACCTTCTTTTGCCTCCTTTTTAGGCGCGTGACTTCATAGAGTCAATTGTGCTTCCTCCAAAGAGGGAAATGGAGGAGATCTTCCCTTGGGCTTCACTTGTGCGTAAGTCAAGGTGTAGAATATTAAGTGTCTTATCACCACTACCGACACGTTTATAGTTTTTTTTCAAATTGGGCCTTTAAATTTGCATGCACCCCGCGACCTCAGCTTACAGTGCTCGTAGAAATTGAATTTTTTCGAAATCCTAGAAACCGGTAAAAACGAATTTGAGGACTTTTTGTTAGTATCTAACGCCACCGTAGCGACGAATTGAAAGGGAAATTTAGCCGTGTTCTGATTGGTCAAGACCAAGGCCATATGTTTGACCGAGTCACAGACGGATTAGCTGGTTGCAGTGATCACAACCTCATTAAAACGTGCAATAATAGTCTTATTTCAATTTTACCTTTAAAAGATGGTTTTGTAATTTGGTTTGAGAACGCGGTGAGAATGCCTGATAACCGTATGCTTTTAAGAATCACATCGAGAGCTGTTCGAAAACATGAATCAGCTTAACATTTCTACCGGTAACGCGTTGCAAAGTTGTCCCCCTTAAAGTGATGGAGATGTACAAGAAAGGGAGTGATAAAAGAATTACGATTGGAAGGATATCTCCTTTGGTTTGAACCGGCCCGAATACCTTTTTTCCTGCTCACAGTCTTGGACCTCCTCTCGAAGATGCTGGTTCTCGATCCGGATCGTCGATTAAAGGCGGCGGAGGCACTTGCCCACCCCTACTTTGCTGACTACCACGACGAATGCGATGAGCCAGAAGGCGAATCGTTGGTAGACGACTTCATCGACTCTAATGACCTCACCGTCGACCAATGGAAAGGTAGGCGTACCCTAAGCACTTGAGTTTCTTGATCGCAAGAATGACCGTGACGTGATGGATCAAGGCGAATTTACAGTGTCGGTAGGGTGCTATGGGTGACCCACCCTACAAGTTCAATTTTGCTAGTACTTTGTTCAGGATATTGCTCATCTTTCCTCATGTTTTGTGTGTAGATCATGTCCCTATTTGTGCAAGAGCAGGCAGCCTCAAGGTTCAGATATCTACTACACCGTTTGGTAGCGGCGCCCTCTTAAGCCTTGCAACTTAGGGATAAAACCTATGTCACGTCGTATCCTATCCCCGCAGTCTTTATCTACGTCGTCCTTGGTTTGTAAATGCTTCCACGATATCTTCGGATGCGGTTCATGATCGTAGAATGGGTAACTCAAATTATGCAGGGAGCACCTGCGTGGCAATGGTATACAGTCATAACTTGAAGTGCGTTGGAAGCACTAGCCTCGAAAACAATGCGCACACCTTTTTTAAATTGCTGGTACTTTGATCCCAATCCTGTGCCAATCAAATGCCTTCTCATTTTAGAAGCCACGTGGAAGCTTCTAAAGAACCACAAACCAAAAATTTCCACTATCGTGGCAATGGATAAAGGTGAAAATGGCACAAGCTAGCGATCGAGTCGCACCAAGCGTCGTTTGTGAAGGTCATTGAGTAATTGTTTTAACATGCTCTACAAGTATTTCTATTTTTGACTGGGGAAGGGGAAAGCAGGCTAGATCGGAAGTCTCTCCAGAGATAGAGTTTGAGAAGTGCCACTCAACATAACTTGATTAGAAGAGTGATGGCGGGTAGATGGAGACGTAAAAACGTCAGTGCATTTGGCCCAACAAGTAGCGCCTCCAAGTAATAACGACAGTGTAATCGAAGAAGGGGAGCTTGGAAAGAGTATTGAGAGTACCCCAGTTTTAACATATTTTTCTTATTTGATTAGAGGAAGATGCATAATGAATTCCCTAATTCGCTGAAATGAGTTAAAAAGGATAAATAACCACATGCACCGTTTAAAAAATTAGATTAAAGGAAGCAATTTTATACAACAGAGTCAGAGGGTGAAAGCAACTCCAATCATCTTAGAAGGGCCATTTTGATTTGTTCACGAGCTGCTAGCATTGCCTAAAAAGAAGAGAATTAGTTCAAACTTGCACTTTGTCGTGTTAGGAAATACGATATTCCAGCAATTAGAATATTTTTTAACGGAACATAGCTACGGAGTAATATGATTAAATAAGCATTTGAAATTACCTATTTATAACTCTAATCTACATCACAATGTCTAAAACAAGGTTTCAAAGCATAGAAGAAATATTTTCTAAGAACTGGGGGAGGAGACATATACTACACCAGCATTATCAAAACAGCATTGATCAAATAATCAAGTTAAAATGATCGGAAACACAATCGTAAGGCCAAATACATGAGTTATGACGAATGGAAGCCAAACAAACCTGAGTGACGGTCTGTTCACTCAATGACATTTCTTCTGGTTTTATTCCAACTTTAGAAGCTATGACCGATGCATCGTTTTCCATTATTATTCTAAAAAGCCTCTGCTTATTAGTAGTCTCACGAATACCCTCCATCACAGAGTTCATCAACAGCTAGAAAAGCAAGCTCCAAATTGTCCAACAGAACCTTCTTTTCCAAGTTATTTCGGAGGATTTGTGAAATCGAATCATGCAGACAAGATAGTGCACTCAAAAGCATGAGCTAAACAGGAATTACAGAACATGGATTGCGCATACTTCATTCTCGTTCACATCACCGATGATATAGAAATAAATGTCTGATGTTGTGCGGTGGACACAGGTCGTCCCCTCAAAAAGTGTGATTTCAGCTAAAGACGAATTTAACGATAATTATGCTGTACCATATGGACTTTTATTTGTTTTTGAGAATAATTTTTTCTCAAAATCCAATTGCGATTTCAACGTA